AATGCTGCCACTCCCCCCCTCACCAAAGGGTTTGAACTGAGCGCACTCTGTTCGCACCGACACCTCGAGTGACGTCATAGAGACGTAACTGCATATTGCGACATTGCCCCCACCACCACCAGGCAGCGTGACTGTATTAATCCACGCATTTCCTTATTGCAGTATCATTCGTTTCACATGGCACGGCCTCGAAAGAGCACTACAGAAAAAGCAAAACGAATGGAGCACGAACTAGAAGGAAAGGCGAATGGTAAAAAATGTGAGACTTAATACAATGCTCATTAAAATAGTTTTCCTGTTGGACCCAAGGGCCAAGAAACCCCCCACTGTCACTATTTTTGCTTTTATTGAAATCTCCACAAACCCCTATTGGGTTGTACATTATTTTAAATTTGCCCCTGCAACAGTTTGTATGCATCTCTCACAATTTTTACCTGGAAAACTTATACAAATTATTTGACAGCTTGTATCTGATACAATATCAATTTGTACCACTAGAACATACATTTATGTCACATTTTTTTTTAAAAAATCCTTAAAAGTAAAGAAAATAAATGAATTTGTAGTAAGAAGTAACAAATACTTTTGCGGGCTGCCAATTGGACCACACTAAGCTGAAGTATTCTTCTTCAGTACGACACAAACAGAACTCCAGTGATTAGCATTTTAAAAAGTGTGCAATGAGTGGGAGGAGGGATGCAATCCATAACTTCCAATGAAAATGAGGCTCGCAGCAGTGGACTGGCTGAAGGATGTCCATGAATAAATGAAAATCTGAGTCCTCGAGAGTTTACAATATGGATACTGTTCGAAAGGAAGGTAAAATCTGTAATCGAGCTGAACAAAAACAGGTCCCACCTGCAAGAAAGTGGGACAGGAGACGAAGTATGTCTGCCGTACCATCAGTGGGTCCGGAATCTACACACCAATCAAGTTCATGTTCCCAAGGGAAAGAAGTCACTTGCTGGATAAGGGAGGGCCTGGAGCTAAGAAAAATGGATGGACGAGTCGTTCGCAGTCTGTCTTCAAGCATTTAACAGGATATGCAAAGCATGTGGGGAGATAAACAAAGTATTCTCATCCATACAATTACAGCAGCCACAAGACCATCCATGTTTAAGAATTTTGCAGAATAAATGGCAAATGCAACCCACAATAGAGAGCCACTTGGTATCACCTTCAACACAGAATGTGACTAAATCACAAACAGCAAAAAGAAAACTGAACTTTACCCTAAGTTGGTAGTCTTCTGTGTTGTGGCGCAGTGTAGTCTGCCACTACAAGTTTACAGACATATCCGAGGTCCTTCTTGCCTCCATCATCAGGGCGATGACGGTGGAGGCAACAAGGACCTCTGAAACATTGGTAAACTTCTACCACCAGACTACACGTCGCTACAACACAGAAGACAGCCATCTTCAGACTCGCCACCGTGAAAACCTCAAACTTTACCCGAAGTTGGCACCATTCCTCCCCCCCACTTCACTCAAGTCGCTCCGGTGACCACCAACCTTGCTCTATTAAAAGTAACACAGATACGATCTTCTACGCTGGTTTCTTTTGGATACCAATCTGGAAAATGGAAGAAAATCAGTGATAATCAGAATGATAAAAAGTAAAACAGAACTCTGTGCGGTAACTGTGTCAATTATTTTCAAAAAAACCAATAAACTAGATTTTAATAAATGGAAGGAAACCACATAGAATTAAGAATAATAATACACATTTTAAAGTTGTTTTTTTTTTGAAATTAATACATTTTGGGTTTTTTTTTATTGTTTTCTATTCACAAAAAATATTAAAATGGACTCTCCATAACTTACACATTATACAACGTACAGCTCATACACAATAATAAGGATAATAATAATAATAAATGAAATTATACAGTATATCAATAAAAATGCAAGTTCAGAAATTTTTTTTTTTTTGGATCAAAGTATAAAATACAAAGTTCATGGTTCAACTATCATTATGCAGTACCAGTAACAATTTATGCACACGGCCCAAAGTTAATTTCTCTTTACTTGTATATATGTCAATTACCGCCACTCAGCCATTTTGTAACAACATTTATGTCTGGCGTCGCGGTACTTAAGAAATATACAACTCAACCACAGTCACAACCCAAAGTAATTTTGAAGAATGAAATTGCACGGGATTGTGTCAGCATTGTCTCCGAAATATCTTTAAAACATGTCATAGGTAGAGAATAAAAACTGAGAACCTTCGCAAAAAACTTTTGGATGACTGAGGCTGGAAAACCAAAATAATTGCACAGAAAATAAAAATATGCACTGATACTTAAGAAATGTACAATATTCAATTATAGTATTCATTCGAAAAGTAATGTTTCTTCTGATACAAGTTTTACGTAAAAGAAAATGTTCTGTTCACAATCAACACTTCGCCTGCCACTTCTATCCATTCATAACACATTTACGAAAGAAAGAGCGTACTTTAAAAATAATCGTGCTATTGTCAAACAATTCACGTTATATGTTCACTTCAAAATTCAAATTTTCTTTTCCTCCATTTAGAATCACTGAAATTGTTATATCAGTGATTAAATTTTGCACTGTAATTTAAACAGGGCAGAATGGTGTGAACTGGTCTTCAAGCTTGCAAATTTCTCGATGCCAACGTATTCACCTTAAAGCAATTAATGACTTGCAGTATTTTGAAACGTGTGTGAATCTCCGACTACAGCACGACGGTGGTCATGCTATAAAATCACTGTACCCGTTTCTGCCTAAGGATTCAGTGGGTCTGTGCGAGCCCCAAATTGTTGCTACATCATCCTGCCGATTGCAAATATAGAAACTCATCACCCCACGATCCATCTTCACATTAACTTTCTAACTAGCTAACCAAAATCATATACAAACCCGCATCTAAGCTACACGTCCAGCAAACAACCCTCTATATTTCGCTACCAAAAAATACAAGAACTGTACAAACCACTAAATTCATTATTTAAGTTGGCCAGACTACACAGTGCAACAACCCAGAAGACGACGACCTTCAACTACACAGAAAATTTGACAAAACTATTTTATATAAAAATATATCTCGCTCTTTGGTGCTGGTAAGTGAAAAGACTGAACATGAGCTTTTTAGTGCTTTGCCCTTCTAATTTCAATACGAATTTTCTTCCTATCTGTCACTTTTGCTCCCACAAACCTGTAAGAAACTGAATGCATACCCATAATGAAATTTTCTAGCACAAGAAATTAAATGTGCCCATGATTAATGTTATAATAATGTACAGGAGCCCCTGTAGTTAACCCCAACAAATCTTTGTGGGATTTGAGGTTTTCAAAGCAGTGAGTCTGAAGATGACTCTCTTCTGGGTTGTTGCTCGCCTCGTAGTCTGGTAGGAGTTTACAGATGTTTCACAGATCCTTGCTGCCTCCATCATCATCATCAAGGCTCATTGCCCTGATGATGATGATGATGGAGGCAGCAAGGATCTGTGAAACATCTGTAAACTCCTACCAGACTACGAGGCGAGCAACAACCCAGAAGAGAGTCATCGCCAAGAAATCTTCATCTCAAAAATTATTCTGAAGCCAAATGGTGAGCTACAAGATCCAAATTAAAAGTGTGATACAGAGTACAACATTGGGTGAACCTAGGAACTTTGGATACGGTGGTAAACAGGCAATTTCGTAGGAGATGTAAAGCCAAACACAATATCAACCTCAAAACCAGTTTGGAGCAAGTGGTTTGATTCAGAATCAAGGGGCGATAACATGTAATAAGACGGATGAACATTAAGAGCAATTTTGGACGTGGTATAGCAATGAAGAGAATCCTACCCATTCGGTGCGCTGGACCGACTCCACTGCCACAGCACCAAACATTTTGAGGCACGTGTATCATACGTTGTAAAGGTCGATGTAAAATGGCCCACATCCAGGTACAATGAACATGACAACAGGTGACAAATCATTTAAAACTCGAAGTCCTGCATTTTAAAAAGTCAATGTATGATCGTAAGACACCCAAGTTTTTAATTTTCAATGGCGCCCTTTAATAATTTTAACGCTGGAGAAACAATCTTCCTCAAACACCACATCCGTCTGCTCTACTTATAGCAAACTTCTAAAACTGAGGTATTCACGTAACTCACAACAAACATCAACTATCTGTTATATATTTTGGATAAGACTTTCATTAACCAATTTTCTGAGACCACTACAACCTTCACAGCCCAATGACCTATTTCTTAAACTACACGTGACTGGGCCTGAAGCTGCCGTTCATACCGATAGATGAGTAAAACATTTTGTGCTCACAGAAGTGACAATATATGCACATCACTTAGGTTCTTTTACTTGAAATAAACGACTGCTCGATGCCGTCGTCAGGGGCATTCTTTGGATACGTTAGAATTGGCATTAATAAGAACAAGAACTTCCTAACGCAAGCTCCAAAAGCTCCTGATCAATTGCATCTCTTGAAACTTTTATGTGTGAAAAATATAAAGAATTCTGCTACCTGTTGCTAGATTACAATATGCAGACGTACTTGGAGTATAAAATGTATTCAGGACAGAAATTTCTCACTAGGTTCAGATATTTAAACCCTATTTCTCAACACACAACTGCGATCGTCTGTCGAAGTGCATAAATGCATGGAGATGACCAAATATAAACCGGTCACATGCAGAGATCGTACCGGGCTTCACACACGGACAGACGAATTCAAACTCTCTGAAAACTGCATATGAAACTCATAAGGCATAATCAGTTTTGCGAACTTAATGATGACCAGCGCACAACTATTCTGCCGCGATCAGATCCTCGTCCCAGCACTCCAGACAGAAAACACGATTTTTTTTTTTCAAACACAAAGCAACATTTATGAAATGACAATGTGCAAGTTACGGTACCACAGCGAAGTTTTCAATGGAAATCCTTCCTGTGCATCATGTCAGCATAATAAAAGTCAACAAACCAAGAAAGAAAGATTTAAAAAAAAGTCTGCACCAACGCTTAACAAACACACACACACACACCACTTCACTTTATTCATCTTTTCTTCCTTATATATGTGAGAATAGCATACATACAAAAACTACATCAAGTGATCTACCTACAATACATTTTAAAGAAACTCAAAAACATTTATTCATGTTTATTAACAATGTTACTTTCTGGAAGAGGAATTTATCATTTACCTTCATACAACTTGATTTTTGTAGAACAAAGGCACTCGGTATGTGAAAAATTTACTATTTAAACAATTATATATATATACAACAGATGTTAGCTGTGTTCAAGTAGAAACTATAATCACAAAGAAAGATGAATTATAAGTAATACAAATGTAAAACTGTATTCATTTATGCTAAGATACTAATTGAGCATCCAGAAAATACCTGCTGAAATGTGAAGAAAAAAAAATCAACATTTTCTTGGAACAAGATAAGAGTTCAGTAAGAAATCCTGAAGTTGCTTGAAGTTTATTCATATCGCAGTTCCCCCACCTACTTACTTCTGTGCCACATTTCACATTTGCAATTTCTTACCGTAGTTATGTTGAAAATGGTGCACATTTCTGCATAATATTACACAAGGATTCGGCTATGCGAGGGGTAAGAAATGTCTTTGTTTCAATCACAATGCTCAGTTTTGAGGAAATAAATCCTTCTTATAAATGAAGCTGACAATTCCAGTATCTCACATGAACTTATTTTCTCAATTTAAAAAAACTGTAGAAAGAAGCGTGCTTACGGCATCCTAATGAGCGTTCTTTCTCTCAAACTATTGGCATAATAAAGACATTTACAAAGATCTAAACTATGGTTTCAGAAGTTTCTTACTTCAGGAAAACGTAAAGTAAAGTAATCTCGCTACACGCCATGAAGGTCAAGGGGGAGGGGGGGGGAAGGAGAGATCAGCATCACGCCCTAGCCGCGCTTTACCCCAGGAAAGGACCCTGGTACCCATTAGATAGGAGGCTGGCTGGGCCCCAGAGCCAGTCTGAACACAGAGGCTAGAGGAAAAATCTCCTGCCCCCCTCGGGGGGATCGAATCCTGGCCGTCCGGTCCGTAGCCAGTCACTATAATGACTGAGCTATGCCAGCTCTCACTTCAGTACACATATTTAAAGAAGCAAGTATTAAAGTCCTTACAGTACACCAAAATGCACAGACAAAATTTACAATGTCTCCTTTCCCTGTCTCTCTGACAAATTTAAAACATAAAACACAGCGCTGACCAGCCAAATGTAATGTATACCGAAAGGCATACCTGTGGCACACCTTCGCACTCCGTCCACGTGAACAAAAACTTGTTTAAGGGCAGCGTTCAAAACAAAGTATGGAGATCCATTCCTTGTCTCGTTTTGCTTTTCGTAACACGTGTACGCTATGAGAAAATAAACACACCACCGACATAAAAGCGGCATCAGTGAAGTTTACAGTGCTTCGTAATAAGGGCTTAAATCAATAGGAATTACTTTTGACTTAATCCCTTCTTGCATAACACAAATGCAACAGGTACTTGCAAGGTGAATCTGGAAAATATCAATTTAAGATCACTATTCTCGTAAGTGCGTTCGTCAAAAACGCAAAGTGTGGACAACTATGACAATGCCGAATAATAAAGCCTGCAACATATCGCACCTTGGAAGAGACAGTACAGCATGACAGGACATGCATCTACCCACAGTTTCTGAAGAGGAATCGCTATTGAGTGCACAGTCCGAACGCACAACACCAAAAATAGTGAATGAATTTTGATGAAATTTGGAACACGTAAATCCCTATTATAATTTATCGTACATATTATTTTGGCCATCACGGACAGTATAAATTTCTTTCCGTAAAGGTGCAGGGATGACTTAAATGTATCTTTCCTAACTGTAAAATATTTCATGTAACAGCAGCATTTAATAAGAAAAATTTCTCTTCATACATACTTTTCAAACTACTCATGGTTTTTTTTTTTTTTTTTTTTGGAATGATTACACAAAAGGAAATTTCAAATAGTAGAAAACATGAGCTGTTCATTTCGATTTCCAAATGATCAACCACGTACGGAAACCAGCGACAGGTAGAGGAACCAGCGATACACACATACTTGCAACATTATATTGCGGAATGGCATTGAATTGCACTTCTCAATAAATACGCTGCGACTCGGCTTCCCTCTTTATGCAATATAACAGTGAAATGAACTTTTTCACTTATCACGTATTCAATTTTAACACCTTGGCTGTGGTTAAGAAATGGAACTACTGACTCTTAGAATTTAAATGTGTTTAAATTCCCAAATTATAAAGGGTTTTCTCAGTCTTTTCACAAGCAAAAATAATCATTAAATGTCAAAAGTTCTAATCTTAGTAAATTCCTTTAATTGGATTCCCACTCCTCTCATTTTATTCTTTAGACGTTCAGCACGTGAATTCTGCTTTCAGGCACCAGTCTGTGAGGTTCCGGTCTGCTTTGCTGATATCGTTTCAAAACCAAATTAAATTTTTAAAATTACAATGTGAAATTACTTTTAGGATATTAATCTATTCTGATTCAAGATGGAAACAATTTAAACCCTGCTTGAAATTAAACTTTGGTACCTTACTTTCAGGATCATCATGCCACTACTAGGCTACTGAAGACAACCCTGAATAAGATGTTAACATTCTTCATTCTACTGCCCTGAGATGAGAACAGACATTAGCTACTATCTTATGACAATGTATCAACACCTGAAATCATCCTCCAATTGAATGTTTCTGAAAAGTGAAATCCAAGTTTGTTAGAAAAATCACCACATGGTTGTACCTGGTATCTGACATGGCAATATTCACGTGAGAACGGTGGCTACATTGAGGACATAGATTCAAGCCAGGCACAGTACCGCCACACTCGCACAGCTTCTGTGGTCAGAAAGCCGAGCCTCACGCTGCAGTTACAGACTACTCATACAGCGTCAATAACAAACTGAACTGTCTGCTGGGTTCATGTGCCCTGTAGTCTGGTAGAAGTTTACCAACATTCCAGAGGTACTCGCTGCCTAAATCACCACCACCCTGATGACAGAGGCTACAACTACCTCTAAAAACATCGGTATACTCAGAAGACAACCATCTTCGTACTCACCACTGTGAGAATCTCACATCTTTCATGGGAATTGTTCATACCTGGGACTGTACTCGGGGTACTTCATATTCTGTGATAGTGTCCAGAAGCTACAAAGCGTATCTCCGGATGAGACGAGATTCACGATTTGTCGATGCTCAGAGGCCCTATCAAAATACCAAAATTGATGAAGATATAAAACCAAAAATTACAATTCCCCCGATTCAACACACAAAACCGCGCAAGGGCATCGGCACATCAGGAGCAACGGGCAATGCAGACAAGTCCTTACATCGGACATTAAGTAAATTTACATGTTCTCTTATACGCTATACATTACACTCCTATGACAATGTTGTTCTCGGTTCTGGTGCCGCGTAAACTTGTGGGCAGATACGACCTTAACTCTGAAGGTGGAGACAGAATGTCTCTCCGAAACACTGGTGTATACCCACAAGTATATATAGCATCACAATTCAGAAGAACATTATCATCTATGCCACCATGAGAACCTCAAATCTCACATATAGTTTTACAGTTTTCTATGATTGCAGATTTCGTTCTTCTTTGTAAAATATGTTTTGGATTACACTAATTTATGGCTACATATTCATACATATACAAAGCAAAAGGATTATTTACAAAATCTGGAAGCACATTAGGCCTATTAAGATCTAGCACAGTTGAAAATCTGATTAATTTTTATAATCTAAAACAACGTGACCACGTTCCAAGTTTCAAGTTATAAAGCTCAGCTGTTTATCAACAGTGATTGTTAACTTAGTGTCCACACACGAAGAGAAGTCTGCTGTCAGCAGAGCGGGCACGAACGGCTACACTGCACCCTTTCACAAAATGTGCCCACCCCCGCAACACAATACACTGCACTGCCACTCGTGCGGAAACCCTTACCAACGGGTGGGGAAGAATAAGTTCCAGTTGTGCAATGAGTATCTCAGTCGAGGGACTATTTCAAAAACGATCACGTAAATGTGGGAGAAACAAACGCGAGTAACATTTGTGTTGCTTAACATCGCAGAATGCAGTGTAGATGGAAGATCAGTGCCAAAACGGATCTTACAGCATTGGGTACTGAGACTACGTAATCCGGAATATGATGCTTCAGAATGGGAACCAATGGTGGGCTGCTGTGATCTGCGAAAACAGCTCAACATCTGACTCTTTAGAGAACATCCTGAGTCAGGAACTGACGATTTCCACGACAGTATTTGTCCTTCCCAAGTTGTGTTGTTGGATGGTTTATTTTATGTGTGAGGCATATATGTGAACATTCTACCTCTAATTAGTACAGCATATTTAAGGAACTTGTTACTAGCTCAAAACATATTTTAAGCCTCATAAAAATAACACAATCAAAACAAGGTCACTGACTGAAGCATGTTCTAGACCAGGGGTCGTCAACCTTTGTATACCTACCGCCCACTTTTGTATCTTTGTTGATGGTAAAATTTCCTTACCGCCCACCACCATGAAAGAGGTACAGCCCCGCCCTCGTTATGCTCACTAAACTCGTGCCTTTGGCTACGGAGCTCATTCGTTGCTCCCTCGTCCACGAGTATATTTTGAGAAGTGTCCGGTGAATTATTATCAATAATCATATGGAATTCAAAAGTAACTTACAAAACCATATTTTAAAAAGTCAAACTCGCGAAGTTGTTAGCAGTGTGTTCGATATATGGGGGGAAGAACAAAATTTGTAACAACGGACAAAAAACCCCACCGCCCACCACGAAAGCTTGAATCGCACACTAGCGGGCGGTGGGGACCAGGTTGACGACCCCTGTTCTAGACTATGTCAAACAGATCAGTTTCATACAGCAAAACTGACTTTTCACTCCATTCATTAAATGGTAACACACATTTCAAGCCCTTGTCTAAAATTTTCTTCAGAGATTCAGATGTGCCTCAATTATACATTTTCATATCATGTAGCCACAACATGGGTTCAGCTCTCTAAATTACACCCGCAGGTTTCTGATATGCGAGTTATATTAACAAGTAAAGGTACACATTACAATGCATCTAATGGAATATGCAGAGAGTAAGAAATCACTCGGTAATAAAACTCAAACCATACCTACACGTCATGACATTTTTTGCTGAAAAAAAAGTAACCAAGCAGTTCCACATTTTGGTAAAGTCGCTTCACAGCCGACAAGCCACGTGTCCATGTACCTTTTTGAATGAATCGCGCCAAATTGTAATATACGAGCTTTCTCAAAAAACTTGCCTGTCTTAACTTTCTAGCAGATATTTTTTTTTACTTTAGTCTGGTAAATATGATCATTATGGCCTTACATTCAACCTTCCAGTTCCAGAAACAGGGATATTATTTCATGTGTTACAACAACAGGACTGTCTCGTTAAGCCTTGTATCGACTGCGCGCGGCTGCCTCGCGAGGCAATGTTCGTTGCTTTGCCTCGCAAAGTCGATACCATGTAGCCACGCGTGGCAGAACGAACAATGCCGCGCTCGAACTTGGCGCGCGTCGAGCCAAATCTGAGCGGTTCTTTGTCCCGCGGCAAAGGGATTTCACTGTGCTGTATTCATAGTGATCTTGCGAGAACTGACGAACAGCGTCGATCACAGCCGAACACGGTTGCCGCGCTCGATGCTGGTAACCACGAGCACAATGAGCGAACGAACGAGTTTGCCGCGCACGAACAGGTGCGCGAGGCAGCCGCGCGCAGTCGATAAAAGGCTTTAAAGGAGACAAGAGTGATCTGCACTAACTTACCACTGAACTTTTGTCCATAGGTTTTTGAGGCTGCAGTTCAACGCATAACTTTGACTTTCGTGTGAGAGTCACGCCGAACGTTTTGATGTTGGCCAACGTTTCGGCAGACAAGGCAGGTGCCATTTTGAAGGTGGATACGGGATGTGGCCAGTAATCAAGGTCTTATATAGGGCCCCGAGTTCGACAAAACAGAAGTCACTGATAACACGGCGGCTACCATTCCCACATAATCACGGAGGCAATCAAGATATCGAAAAGCCCACGCAACTTCAACTGCAAAGCACGGCCTGTACGGCGCCTTCAAAACTTGCCCCACCTCGTCTCCACCTTGAAAATGGAACTGCAATGTTCGTCAAAACGCTAGTTAACACCGAACATTCGGCGTGACGTTCGCCCAAAAGTCAAAGTTATACATACCGCTGAACTGGTAACATCAGAGTTGAAGTCCCCATACGATGGAGGTTTATAGTAAACGCTTTCTGGTTTCCGAGCATCCAAGTTTACAGAATATTAGTATTTTATATACATATTAAGTCTGCTTGTGCTGTGATGTTTCAAAATGATTCTCTTTTTGTTTCTTTTTTTAAATTTACCTTTCAAAGCACATAATCATGTGAGAAGCAATGATTCAGAAGTTTCTGTTCATTTTAACAACAACTGAACTGCTCCGAAACACACGTAAGTATTACATGTACTTGTTGAATCACGTACACAGACATTACACTACCATTTCAATTTCAAATTACATAATATACAACCTCAAGCCTTATCTAAATAAATTCCCCTTTTTACACAAACATGCCGAGATGGTACAGCTTTTGCAGGCAAAGAAACTATTCCAATGGTTGGGTCCAGATGTTAAAACGCCCCTCAAGACTGATTAATCAGTTAAACCTCCGATCACACAGTATCGTCCTAATCAATTAAAATAAAGTTTTTACACATTTACTTTTGAATCTCAAACGACAAGAACGCAGCTAAAATATTGTTTACAATTTCTGTTATCATTTATTAAAATCACAAACTCTTAATCACAAAATGCCTTTCATTTACGTAACCTAACCTAATCCAATAGTTTCTGCACTTTCAAGAGATACATTTATTACTCCTTATATAAAACCACTTATTATTTCCTGTTTTAACCGTCGACAGTTCTATGCGTCGTTACGCACTTTACAATAGCGCGCGCACGTTTCAGCAACAAGAGAGGTCCTCAAGTCTATGCAGCTGGAGGCAACTGGGCCTTGAACGCAGCACAATCAATACAAGCCATAAAGATTCTAACGGTGACAAATTTGTTACATTTTTATGAATTGAGATTTGCTTAATCCAGATTAAAAATACAGATACTCTGTATAGTATCCGTTGCAGAAACATGCACGCCGTTGTAAGAAATGCAATAATTAGTAAAACTGCCGAGTTTCTGTTGACACGAGCTAATACAGTGATAAGCCCTGATAATTTCTGTCAGTAACGAATGATCTGTCAAAAATGATCCTTAACATTTTCATATGGCAAAAACATTCTGGAAATTTCTTACTAGTGAACAATAATTACGTAGTGCCACCTTCCCAGATCATACATATGAAGAAAAAAAATATTATGTTTGTCACTAAGCTTCCTTTAAATAAAATTGCAAACCTGCAACAAAGCTCCTGAGAAGTTACCACAGCCAAATCTTCTCATCAAAACAAGCACACGAGACGATCCTAAAATCTCTCACAATGTAGTATTGCATTAAAGGCTTTGAAACATAATTTACATAACTAGGGGGGCATGTATATAAGACACAGGCATCTAATATTTAACTACACATGTGAACACACAAAAAATAAATGCAAGTCACCTCTTCCGCTGCCCCCCCACCCCCCCCAGAAAATAATAAACACTTCAAGGATGCTACCACCAACCATTAAAATACCACTAATATATAAAATAAAACACAATCATGATTATATATAGAACAACACACAACTAATTCTATTTTATACACAACAGAACTAATTACTGCAAAGCATCTTTCCAAATGACAGGAAAAAAAACCCACACCCAAACCCCGTCTGTCCCAGAATCCTGTTCTGTCCAAACAAAACCGAAGCCCACTTTAACGCAGAAACTTAAAAGAAACATAAATGCTCTTCTAGTGACCCTTAAACAAATGCAACCTATATAAAGTACAAGCAAGTCAAAACAAAATTGTAACTGTAACATCGGATACACGCACGTGTTACATAATGTTACGTCACGTTGCAAAAAAAAAATTAACAACAGGAAATCTTTCATATTTAAATGGAAGCCACAATTGGCACAGAGTCATACAACGACTCTGGCTGTTGGTACCGAAGACACGAGTTAGCTCAACAGAATAACAATGACCTCATGACCCTGCACCCGACTAAACCGAATGATGAGACTACGGACAGCCTCGTTATTAACGGAGCACCAATGCACGTGGAATACCCAGTCACACAAAACATTCACATAATCCTCGCCTGTGGTCTGCCGAACACGTGTCCGTAACAATCTATTCTTAAACACGTTCTTACTCGTATGACATTTTAGAATTTTCTTTCTTTTAAACGATACCTCATTCACTGTTACCTTCCAAAGAGCATATTTGGTCTTTTATACCAAAGTTATTTCACTGTTATGGAATATACTGTACAGCGTTATTTTTAAAAATGTATTCTCGTCCACTAACACGAGAGAAAAGAAATATCGAACCTAACATAGGTTATACCATTCCACTTGAAGAAACACTTATGGTGCTTCAACCACACTGCTTAAGTCAGTGCGTACAATATAAATTTGTGTTATTTATTTTAAAACCTGGATTAAAGACTAGTCCTATACTGATTTCAGTTTTAAAATTCAACTGTACACACGCAAACATCAAATTTTCACTCATACAGGGTAAGCAATGTCCCTGCATATATATATATATATAAATATATAGATATGACCCCCGCCAATTACGAGATCGACGGCAAACTCGTGTTATAACTATATCACAATTATGTTACATTAGGTTGCTGAGAAAGCAAACTTCTCTTTGCAGAGACTATCAAAATACTTCCTGCAACCTCACTTTTTAATTACGTCACTGTTCAGAAGAGACCATGTTGGCAATCGGTACATCGCAACAGAAAGCAATTCACCGCTACATATATACATATACACACACACTTTATCATACGACTACGCCTTTGTTTTCCAGACTGCAAGATATTTCACATCTGATCCAAAAACAAGAGAAATATGATACAGAAGAATAAGAACAGACGCTGAAATGCTTACTTTTTTAACATTTTCTTCCGAATATCTTTCACAGGTATTTCCACTGACTTATAAAACTCCAGTGGCATCCTTCGCCATTCACTGAACCCATTAAGTGAAGATGGTAAATTATCATTTTAATCAGTCATTTCAAAAAAGCCCATTCTCCCAACTTTTGATCAACACGAGTTTATTTATTTGTAGTTTTTCAACGACGCCTTTTCAGCAGCTCCGACTATTCTTAAACCGGCGCGATGGGCTCCGCGTGTCTTTCGGACCGCTTGATGCGATTAATGGTCTGTATCTTAACGGCATCCTGGAAGAGGGACTGATTTCTGCAGCATTTCCTTGTCCTGAAGACAACGGCTATCAGATGATTTTTCATTGGCATGTCATCCTACGCTAGATTCAACCGGCACGCATCTATGAGACCATATTCGGCTTCTAAAATCATAACCGTACCCGCACGTTATCGGACGATAAAGCTGGACCTGACATCAGAGTCCTTCAACCTCCGTAGTCATAAATTTTAGGCACTTAAAAATGCTGAAAATAATAATTCTAAATATTTTAGATGACAGTGTGATGGATGCAAAATGCTTCTTCATAATTTGCTCAAAGGCGGTCTGTTTGGATAAAGGGCCTTCAAGAAATGACTGATTAATTCGCAATACAACTCGCAGAGCAATCAGCGTGCATAAACTAACTGTAGCAAAAAATAATGCACTGATCAAGAGATATGTTACGTCATTAATATGCAAGCATTTCATCTAATAATTAAGACTTGGGCTAACAAACAATATTGTCCAGGTATAACGGTAGTCACTGCCAAATAAAATATGATGTCCGTAAAATGGAAGACTTACAAGAATTAAATTTCCAGCTCAGAACATGAAACTTAAGTTTTAAAAATTGCCAGTCCCCCTTCACCAAATTTATTTGGAGGAAGCCACGCTCAGCTTCCAAATTAACTGCGTATCATTTCATACGAACACTATATCATACTACGTTAGGCACCAAAAAAAAATACCCAGTATGCCAAATTAAAATTGATTATGGCACCCCTGTCTGTAAAAAAAAAAAAAAAAAAAACGTGAATGTATCGCTTTCCGAGAAACCACCTGCCTTGCATCTTTAAGCATAAATATTGAATCGGGATGATATTGCGCCATACGATACGGAATAATCAGTAACTGGACGTACTTCAACAAGCAGTAAGTTCAGTACTCCACGCCTCGTGTTCTACTTTGAAGTCAGAATTTTTATGATGAGGACCTCACAGTATGGAAAATTATTCTCACAGTTCTGGAGATGACAAAGAACTGTTTTCGTGTTTCATTTCTGATAATGCAACACGTTCCACTGCATCCTGTTCTTTGCTAGCAGCATCCCTCTGAGTGTCCCCAAATCTTTTCTGTTTTTCGACACTCTTCTTACAACCAGAGGATTCTTTCTTTTTGTGAACAGGATTAGATACAGGTGAACCACTGGTCCTATCTCCTGACTCACGTACCTTACAACCTGAAATACGATCTGATGAATCAGATTTAGAGTTGCTGGCATTTGAAGCGACAGGGTCTGATTCGCCAAGATCAAAATTGACTCTGGCTTTATTTGTACTTTGGTTAGAATCCTTTGAATTTGAATGTTTTACATTGGAACTGCTTGGTTCCAAACTTCTTGCAGAATTGAAAGAATTGGATCTCGTCCGACCTGATGAGCCGTGAGCCACTTGGCTTGTGCCAGAAGAACTTGGCCCCACAGAGTCTGTGCGCCTTCTACCTTGACCGTTACCAGAACCGGGACCTCCTGACAAGCGCCGCACGCGCTTCTGAAACTGCAGTGCCGTCTGGCGGTCGGAACTGGACTGCCGTCTCAGATCCATGCTGTAACTCTCTGAAACGCTGCGGTTGCGACGTTTTACGGCGTGTGGGTGGAACATTCCTCTGAATCCACCTCGCAACTCATTCTCAACACCAGGCTGTGGAACAAAATTACCCGTAAGAATCATCCTTACCTAGAAATCAATAACTAAGCACGTCAAGATCAGCTCTGTCATGCAATATGAAGATCTCCAAATCAGCATAAAACACAAAGCAAAGACAGAGCGTAACGAAGTGCAAATATGCAATATGTCTGCATTAAGGAATCGCTCAGGATGAAATTTCAACACAACTTCACTAAATCAAAGACCACGCCTTCTGACAACTGCAAAAGAAAATTAAATGATATAAACAGAACATTGTTCTATGTGGAGTACAGTTACTTCAATCATGTACAAAGCCCTAACATGTACAGTCTGCACGTGTGCAATCTGACTGATGCATTTCCTACTCAGAATGGTCTCATGCAAAAGAGACGCTTCATTACTTCAACTTTGTTTCAGAATAAAACAGGTCTATGTGGAAAGCCCCTAGGTGACAATCTTTGCTTGTAGCAAAAAAGGGAAGGGACTCCTGGGGGTAGAGGACCTGGAGGTAACGTAGCCATGTGGATTGCCAAGGCCTGGCTGGTTACCGGAACCACCGACGGTGATATTATTATTATTATTTAGTGTTCTGTCTGACGACAGGTCCATATGAACAGGATCCTTCCATCCTTTTCTCTTCTCGGACTGGGACCTGTTCATATACGTTCTTGGCAGATGATCCAGAAGTGGTTTGCCATTGCCTTCTTCTGTGTGTGAATGGAGTAATTGTTGGGATGCCACGGAGGAAAACTCCGTGTTGCCTAGACCACGGCCTTGCCCAACACAAGTTATAAATTCGAACCCGAGACCCCAGGATTACAAGGCCAGCGTTCTAACTGCTAGACCACGTAAAATAAACACGAACAATGCATTTTCAATACTAAAATTATGTACCCTGAAATAAACTGTGCATATAAAGAAAACAACTTTATAAGCGAAGACACAACCTGATTCCTGGAACAAGTCCTATTTGATGAGGAAAATCTGACACACAGAAATTACTGTGGATCAAACCATTACATTTAACTAGACAATTTTGTATATTACGAATTACTTTAACCTGAATAAACTAAATGGCAAGCAAATCTCAGATTAATCACTAAGCACACTTTCTATCACGCCAGTAATATAATATTAAAAAAGCAAATCTCAGGCAAAAAGAATAATAACGAAGAGGGCTGATCAAGAATATCCACAACATTTTTTTTTATAGAGAAACGACTAATAGTATCACAGTGACGAGCACGTAGGATGCTTGGCAACATCTCCTGACACCACATACCAGCGGAGCGGGTAGGAGCTCGACTCAAGTCATGAGTGAGTTGATCTACGGTGCAATCAAGTTTTTCCGTCCGATGTATTGTGAAACGGACATGCTCTAAAGTGTCTGCATGAAGTTATGACAGAAACTTGATAAGACAAGTCACAGGGGATAGATAAATCATGGGTTTATGGCTACAACCCTGAGAAAAACAACTGTCGTCACAATGGAAGATGCTGTCGTCACCTCAGCTAAAGACAGCAAGGCAAGAGCAGTTAAATGTAATAACAATTCTGATAACTTTCTTTGACGCAGAGGGTCTGGTACACCACAAATTTGTTCCCGAATGCCAAACCAAGAATCAGACTGTCTACAGAACCATTCTGCAATGCCTTTGAGACGCAGTTTGTCAGAAATGACCTCACAAATGGTTGCCTGGTAACCGGCTCCTGCACCACGACAATGCGCCGTGCCACGCGGCCATGACCAAATTCTTGGAAATGCACAGCATCCCCATGGCTCCCCACCAAACTTATTCACCAGATCTGGCCCACTGCAAATTCTTCCTTCCTCTTACTCAGGCAGAAGAGCACCCTGAAGGGGAAATTATTTTAAGACATCGCGGAGGTACGAGTAAATACGACGTGGCAGCTGCAGGACATTCCGAAACAAGCCTGCCAGACAGCTGGAATCGCTGCATAGAATCTGGAGGATCGTACTTTGAAGGAGATAACTTTGAGTAACTTGGTAGGACCTGAGGTTTTCGTGGCCGTGAGTCTGAAGACGACCGTCTTCTTTGAGTAACTTGTAGATTCCTTCCTAAAAAGAATTCTGTCCCAGATATTGCTGATCAGCCCTCCTATCAAAAATTGTGATGACTAAGTACTGTTTACGGCTATTACGCAAAACGACGTTGTAACTGACTTCAAACCAATTATCATACGCATTACTGTATAACATAAATAGAAATCAAGACTTGCCATAACCACACGGAAGTCCTTCACGTCGTTGTAGCCAGAGAGGCACTCCTTCAACTTGGGATCGATGTGTAGTTTTGAACTGTGCTTGTAGTACTTTAAGAAAGCCCAGAACTTCTCCAGTCCATACAACTGACCTAGATGGAATAAAAATAAATTTCAATACTTCTGGTGCAAGCAAAATAACGTGCTCGAACACACAGAAATCCATGAATGCGCAGAAAAACATTAGAGCAAAGAAACAACAAGGTTGATGCAAGTTAAATATTCATGAGAAGTTCAAGACACTGAAAGGTTCTCTCCTGAAAAATGTCTGAAACAGAAAAATTCTGCATTGTGAAAGAGACCCAGTCAATTGTACGTTAAGTACATAAGAAGTGTTAGTTTAAAACCAATGAAATCGTGTACAGTGCTCAAATTCCTGGGGGTGGAGCTTACAGTGTGTCACAACATGAATCATGCTCAAATCCATAATAAGTGAAGTTTTTTTTGAAGTTTGTCCCACTATACGCCATGTAGGCGTTTGGGGTGAGTGGAGGTATAGCTCCTCTCTTCCTTGACC